ATATATATATATATATATATATATATATATATATGCATGATACCTAAGTTGGATGGTTAACATAGATTTGTTGTGCCGAAAAAATGTGTTGCCAGTGGTCGCAATCGACTATTGGATAAAAACACTTGGACATTTCATTAACGTTAAAATTCGGACAAAAAAAAACCAAAGGTAAAAAAAAACAACAACACAGTATGAAGTGAAAATAAATTAAGAAAACAATAGCAACGACTACCGAAAAAAACCAGCAATAGCTCGTCCGTTCGATTGTTGACATCGTTAAGATAGTAATCTGCATCACTATGAATTTTGCCTTTTCTGACTCTCTAAGAGGTCCCCTAATTCTGAAATTTGGAGAGGTGATGGCCGCAGGGAAGAGAACCAAAGCGAAAGTCGTTCTAGGTTCGTCACAAATCATTTTAAATTTTCCATTAGCTGCAGCGGCGGCAGCCGAACGCTTCGACTCAAGGCACCTAATGCTTATATGCTAAAATCTATCGTGTCCTAATCCTTGGCTTTACTTCCAGACATCAAGAAAAGAATATTTCAAGCATCCCTTATTCTGAAGCATTAACCACTAAAAAAGCAAAGAAATGTTTTCGGAAAGATTTTGGGAAAGGTGAATGTGAAGTACGTTAAAACACTCAAGTACAGAACTGTTGTCATACTAACCAGAATACTTTTCTTTGGTATTTAGCTGTACAGGTGTTGTGCAGTACCATCTGCTATGGCAAAATATGTTGCTGATTACAAGATACAATTTTTTTTTCAACGTTATTATAAAAAGTGGTCTGAATGACAAGATTTTCAAACGTGCGCGTATGCGCTACTTTCTTTCACATGTTATTTCCTGTTTTTCCTTGTATGAATTCTCCGTACCATACATAAGGGTATAGGTGGTATAGCGGTACAGATGTACAACCTCTCTTACACGTTCGTCGGAATTTGACACCGATGTTATGCACTGGAGCTGCCTAATAAACTGTTCTTAAAATCAGTCGAAGAATCCGTTAAACGGATGCTTCCTGTTGCTTTTTTAGAAAATCAGATATTTACCAGTTTCAAACAGATAGCTAAAAAATAGAACATAAAAAAAAATGCATCGAAAATTCTGAAATTGATCAAAATTAAAGTTATAGACTTGTACAAACGTGCAGGATAAGTTTTATCATATGCGAAGTAATCAATGTTTTGTAAGGAGAAACAGGTAAGTGGAATGAGAAATGTATTTTTGTTCAGGACTAACTCTAAATTTTGTAAAAACATCTTATTGTGATGATATTATAGGTTAGATAAGACGATTAAATAAAGTTGATCGACAAATTATAAAGTCTGATAAGTTCTTTGATGTTTTTTATAGAAAAAAAA